GTGTGTGTGTGTGTGTGTGTTAATGTATGTAGGTATGGGTATATATGTATGTTTATATGTGTATATATGTATACCTTTCAGCAAGTTTATAATCATTATTATTATATACATATGCATTTTGTTGCTGTTTTTTAAAAGTATATAAAAAATACTGACTGAACAAACAGAAGATGTAGATTTATCACACATTAATAAATTTGGACATATCTTTTTATAAAATGTAACAAAACAGAAAACTATTAGGCTGCTGAATGAAGGAAAAACAGATGAAAAGAATAAAATGTTTTTAGTTGTAAAACTATTATTAATTTATTATGATTATAACTTATTTATATTTAGAATTTATGATCTTTTTCAGATTCTTTACTTTTTTTTACTGCTGCCTATGTGGCTAAAATGACAGATTAATATTTTTATTAACTCTGAGAGGAACGTGGGTCTACCTGGAGTCCACGTGTTCTCTGTTTCTGGAACATAAACATCCTTCTCTGTTCTCCAGAGCTCAGAACTGACGCTTGGTTTGGTCGGCCCAATAAGCACGGTTCTCTGTGAGGCTCGTCTCTCTCAGGTGGAGGAATCAACATTTTTCTGCTGGTTTTTCTTCTCTGACAGCCACTTTTTAAAAATCTGTCAGCTTCAATATTTTTTCCAGTTCTTTTTCAAACTTGTTCTAACAAATAAATTGGTTTTATTTTGAGCACCGCTCAAACTTCTGCTGGATCTGAATCAAAGTTTTGCCTATATCCAAGTCCCACCACCATCTGATTTCTGATTGGCTCGTAGGCCTGTCTAGTGTGTTTAAAGTGAAAGCTGCTCCTCTGACAGGTCCAGAGAAATGTCTGTTAAACAGTTGGCCCGGTAAGTCTGATTTTTTATTTCTCCCCGTGGAGGTAAATTGGAAATCTGGCACGGTGCCGGAATACATCAGCCCTGTGCCCTGGGCAAGTAAGCAAGAGTCATTACTGAGCTATTGAGATATTGTACTAGTGAGTACTGGATCTAAATGTCTTAGGTTACCTTTCTTCTTCAGCTTTCATCTGGAAGGCATCCTCTAACCAGTCCAGCAGCTTGTGGGTAAACTCGCTCACATCTTGCTGTTAAACAAAAAGAAAAATGAACATTTTCACTGCAACGTGTATAACATATAGACCACTAATTCAGAACTTTAAATCTGTAGCAGAATTGTGATTTAAGTCACATTTTAGTGACATAAAAGTTACATGAAATGAATCTGATCGTTAAGACTGAGGTCACTATGAAAAAAAAATACATACAGTATCCAATTTAGGATCAAATAGAAAAGTAACTTGCATCTGATTTAAAAGTATATATAATTGTGATGTTGAGATTTTCAGAAAAAATTCAATATAAAAATCTGATATGGGCAACATGTTGGCAAAAATGTCATGTTTAGGCCATTTTTCCTGCTGTATGAGCGTAGCCTATCTCACACGTCTCAGTGAGGAAGTTTGTACTAGGGAAGCAAGTTATCGATTAATGGGTTAATCTAAAGTTGATTGATCTTGTCGAGCGACTAACGATTTATTGATAGGCTGCAATTTTCCTAAAAACCTGAATTTCTCTTGAATTAAGGGTCTGTCTATAACATAAAGGGCAAATTTTTTACACACTAAATTTAAAAAAAGTACAGTATTATATTAACAATTCATTGTGCCAGCTGTGTGAGTAAACACTGACTGAATGAACAGAGAAATGTGGATTTCTCTCACATTATTAAACTTGAACATATTTCTAAAATACAACTAAAGAGAAATCTGTTAAGCTGCTAGTTGGGGAAAAAAATGAAAGAATAAAATAAGTAAAACACTTAATCCACCCTGAAGATGAAAAACTACAATTTAAAAACAGGGTGGTAATATTTTAAGATAAAGGTTAACTCAAAACAAACTAAAAAGTTAATAAATTCCAACAATTTTCAAGCCAAAGCAGATCAGCCAATATTTGATCTGCATTCAGGTTGAAGATGAATTTAGGGTAAACCATCATCTGTGACCTGTCAGCTGAACAAACATTCCTGTGTTGAGCAGGCTAAAAGAGAGGCTTACCTGTTGTGACTCACTGGACTTAAATGCATCTTTGAGGATTTCCACAGCCCGTGATGGATCCACATATTTCCTCTTAGAGGCCACCATGAGGGAGAAAAGGTTCCTTAGTTCCTGCATGAAGGGAAGGTTTCTGTGCTCCTGCCCAGAAACACACAGTAATAATTTAGTTTCAAATAAAAGTGAAACTGTAGATGTACGTACAGTCACAGAAAAGCTAACCACATAAAAATTAGAAAACCTTGGAGAGTGCATACCTCTACTACAACCCTAAACTGTGACCCATCATATCGAAATGAGGATTAAGTCAAATTTGGTCCAAATGACCTAATTACATTTTCAGATTCTTGGCTTTAAAAGCTACATTTTGATACCTGGATCATTCTGATATCATAAGTAAATCTATATATGTGACTTAATTTGTCTTGTTGGTTACAATAATACATAATTTGGTCTGAATCCTAATTTTATGTCATTTTAATGAGGAATTTTTGATGTTCTTATAAAGAGGAAACCTCAAATTATGTTTGAATATTGAGATTTCCCAGCTGAAAAGAAACAAAAACATTGCCAGCTCACAGGGAAAATCTCAAAATTTTAATGCATTTTTCATCAAAATCAGTTTTTTTGTTGCTACTGCTCAAAAAAGTGCTTCAAAATTTTGTTTTATGATTATATTTCAGACAGTTCATTTAAATGATACATTGGTAAGGCTTTTATTCATTATATTTTGACTAAATGCAATTTTTGCAAATGTTTTAATCAAAACACTATATTTTCTTATTTCTCCTTATACCATTTTTAGACTTAATCCTCGTTTCGATGTGATGGGTCACATATACCGTCAACTTTTAAAAGTACTTTTTTACAGTACTTAAGTAAAAAACAAATGTCAGGATCTGTACTTTTATGAAGTATTTTTTTACATCGTAACTTTTACTTTTATTTTGTTACATTCAAAACATAAAATTATACTTCTTTACTTTATAACGCCTTGTTA